CCAAACAAGATTTAAAAAAAATATATATTTACATTATCTGTGATTTATCAGACGATAGTAATAGACTTATAACCCTAGCCTGATGTTTCTTATCAGTATGTAAGGAATTTACATTAGATAAGATTTTAGAGATTAAACCAAGGGTCAACAACCTTTTTTCCACATAGGGACGTAAATGGATGGATGGACGGCTGCCTTTATCTAGTTAGCTAAAAAAAAAAAAAATGATAATAGTTATTTGATATTCTTATGTAGAATTTGCATATTTAAGGAAACCAAATTAGGATAGGTACTAAAGTTAAAGGATCAAAATTAGAAAATATATATATATTTTTTTTTTTTTTTTAATTCTTTATTTTTGGAAGCGCAATGTTAAGTACATGCTCAAAATATGACATAGGCATTTAACATAAAGTATAAGCACAAGTACATGCTAAAAAGGTCAAGATGATGTGCGCTTTTTTTTTTTTTTGTGTGATGTACAAGTAAGATTATACATGCAGAGAAAACAAAACAAATGTCGCTGAGTAGTCGATTTAAACAAGAAGAAAACATTTCTAACTATATGTTGCGCTTCACAGGCTGAGGGTATATGTCTAGCTTACGCCGTACAATAGTATAAATGCTGAGACGCTATGAATACATTTTTGCTTATTGTGTGTGAACGCCCCAGGACACCCACCGCAGGTGGTTAACTACCAGTACCCCAATTGATGTTTAATGCGTTTCCCATGTAACAAGGCTGAAGGAAATGTGACCACATAGAGTCCATGTTTATGGAGGCAGAAGGCTGGAGAGTTCCCATATGACTGTTAGGAACCTCTTGTTGCGATTTAGCCGTCAATCCCCGCGGCACTGCGATGAACGTGCTGATCCAGGAGAGGGAGCGTTGCTGTGCACCGGTTGCCTGCCGCCTGGGCCAGCCTGAAGATATATCTGCTGGGTCCGGTTAGTATGAGCTGGATCAAAGCGGTTTGCGGCTGCTCACCTCCTCCCCAGCATCCATTTCGCGTGTTGCGCCACTCTTTTTGGGAACATTAGTCGGGCTGGTGGCGATGCGGTGAGTATTTGTGTTCCCGTCGGCCTGGTTGCCCTCTGCATGTATTTAGGGCCCACCTGGGATTTGCGGTAGTTGCGTAGCAGCTAGCAGTTTCCTCGGTGCAAGCTGGTGAGTGTGTTGCCGCCATTTTAGACGTGGCTTGCGGCCTGGGCTGTGGGTTGGTAGTTCTGTGGGGTCCCATGATCTTCTCCACGGTAGTGGCCACAGGGCGTGGGCCGGGATCACCCCCGCCGGCCCAAAGGGGGGGGAACGGGGCCCGGTACATACGGTATTATAGTGAGTCCAGCTTTATACCACTGTGCAGGATAGCGGGGCAGCGGCCGTCCACCCCGCTCACCGCCCGAGTAGGCCTCATCCAGTGAGAACAGTGTGTATCTCCCCGAGGGACTAAAACAGTTGCTGCTAGCCTCTCCTCAGGACCGGAGCTTCCATGGGTGTAAGTCCATAACTTTTGGTCGTCAAGCGTGTTCAGGAGTTACTCTTTTAGGCTTAAAAAAGTCAGAAAGTCGTTGGAGCTGTTGTTTCGTGCGACCATGCAGCATGGCGGTCAGGCCCCGCCCCCCCAGAAAATATATATATATTTTTATTTAGATCTTTCAGTTGTTTAGTAGATAACCCCCAAATTTGTTATTCTTATGTGGTATTGCCATGTTTAAGAATTCCAATTAAGGGAGCTATCTGCTAAAAAAAAATCCCATAATTTGGTATCCTTAAATATGGCATTCCCATGTAAGGGTACCAATTAATGGAGTTGTCTAACAAACGGTTAAAAGACCAAAAAATGTTTGAAGATACCAAATTAGGAAGCTATGTACTAAACACAAATAAACACTTTATATGTATTTTTAAGAGCTAGAGTGAGTCATCTAGTTGGGATTCAGTGGGGCTGAACTCTGTTCATCCTGCCCAACTCCACGTCGCGTCTTGTAGTGGTGCTATTGCTATGACGACGGAATATCCCAATTGGCGAAACACTACAGGGAGCACAATGGAGCTGTACAGGAGGAGCACAGTAAGTACCAACCGTTCACACAACTATTATTATATTTTGGCAGAGTAGACGCATGCCATGTGGATATGAAGGTGCCTACCCTGGCAAGTGGAGCTTCCAAAGTTCAGGGCAGTGGTGGTCCACTTAGGTTCTTGTTGGCCCTGCTTTGGGCTGGATGCCCTGATTTTATCATGTGCATTTGTGGGACTCTAAAATTGCAAAATCAGAGCCATTGGATAC